GGCAGACAAACGCAGACGAACAAACACACAAACAAACGACTTAAGTGCAAACAATTAAAAGACAAACAGCTCAATGCTGGCTCACACCCAAACAAATACGGCCCAACAAACACCCACACATCCAGATGCCGGAGAACACATACGGATGCGCAAACAAGTAATTCGCAGGAGTTGGACGTTTTTTGGGGCGCGACAGAAGAAAAAGTTTTTTCCACCGGCTCAAAAGTCGAGCCATGACATCTGAGTCAGCGTTTTAACTTTCGGGGCTTCTCTTTTTTTACACACTTTGCCAGCAGAGATTGTAAATGAGAAGTTTGGCTGAAAAGTTCGAGGGAATTTGAGCTCGCAGACAAATGTAGAATGTATGCTACACTCATATGCGATCTTGAAAAAAAAAAATTAAGAAAAACCTCTCGGTTTCGGTACATAAAATTATATAAAAAGAACAATAAAAACTAATTTAATAAGCACCCTTTTAGGACAACTTAAGTCAAATTTCCATATTTTACCAATTTTAATGAATGCAAATTCTATGTCCTAAATACTGTAAACGACAAAGATTTGCTTCAGATTTATGGTAACCGAGTGGTAAAAAATGTTTCTCTCGAAAATATGCTTTCCATTTAAATGGCATTCCCCTTTTGAGTGTCTGTTGAGGACGTTCAGGCGTAATTTTCAGAGAATTTCAGTCTTTTGTTGTATTAAAAAACCACCTCATTTCACTGCATATATTAAGTGTGTAAAACGTGTCAGAATCTGGGGCTGCCTTTCTTACTCTGGTCCTTATTCTATCTGGCATGTCATTCAATCATTTCTAGAGGTGGAGCATCAACACATTCCTCGTAATAAAATGCCCGACAATCTGGCTCGTGCTGGAATTCGGAATTTTGATTTTTCAGGTAACGTCAACACGGGAAAAAGGGTGACGGGCGAACTTGGGGGCTAATCTCTCGGCGACCGCCAAACCGCACATTAGCTGGGGATGTGCTGGAAATGTGCTCTGCAAACATTTGGGCCTGACAGCGGGCAAAAAATCGTGCATTGACGATGATAACGTCCTGGCCCCAGCTGACATCGCCACGTCCATCGACCGTCGACCATTGGTCTCTGCATATTCACGCCGCATTAGCGCTCGGTGGCCAGCGTTCCGGGCCTGCAAAACCGGACACAGAGCGGCGCATTTGGGTTTGGTTTCGGGTTTCGGGCTTGGGTTTGAGTTTTTGGGCCGGGACGGGTCTGCAGCTTGTGGTTCCCCCAAGCTGACGTCGCTGCTCCGCCTAGGTTGATGCTTTTGACACGATCTACTGATTTCCGACCCACTTTCCCTGACCCTGTCCCTGTCCCACTCCAATGAATTGGGAAATGACGGGATGGGAGGCTGTCGGTTTTTGGGCCTCCTATGCCAACGTAAACGTATGCTAATCGGCTTGTTTGGCTCAGGTGGGGCAAACCCAGGTGAAATGCTGTGAAATGCATCAAATGTCTGCGGCACGGAGCAAACGAATGGCTATCATATCAGCGATGAGCAGCAGGAAACTGGGTTCATTTATTCACTTTCGATAACAATAATAACTATAAAAACTTAAAAGTTTCTAAGTGAAAACTACTTTCTTTACCTGAGCACATGTATTCCTTTTTATTTTTCATTTTGTAACAATCAGATTTGTGCTTAGTCCTAATTGCATTTTTAATTAAATTAAATAGCTAACAAACAGTTTACATACTTTTAACCACATCGTGTGGCTTTTTAACCAATGTTGTTCCACCGATTCCAATCTGACAAGCGGTAAAAAGTAATATCCTTTATTAGCATAATGAAGTAATAAACATTGTTGCAGTTAACCCGCAAAGTCAACAAGTCAACAGCACCAGATAAAATCATCAGTTGCCCACATTAACTTCAATTCGCTCCCTGCCACACGCACCATTGCATTCCTGCACTTTTGCATCCTTGCACCCTTGCCCTCCTTATACGGCCGATAAGAGATCACTAAAAAAGAGAACAGGGGAAGCCCCATTCACCCCCATTTACATGCAGCGCAGGCAGGGCGGAAACGGAAGTGCCGAGGCAGCTCTGAAATAATATCAAAAATGGCTGCCGGAGGCGGCAACAAAAAGTTGCAGCTGGTCACAAATCATCTTAGGAGCTACGTGCTGCAGCCGATGCCAGTGTTGTAAAATGCTAACGAGCCCCGGCAACCTTTGTTGTCCTGCCACACCCACTTGCCAACCTCCCTCGCCCTTGTGGCTCACCCTTCGTCTCTCGCCGTTCCTCCCATAATCATCATCGTCGTCGTCTTCCTTGTCGTTGTCGCCGATGTCGTCGCTTTGAGTGACTTTGGCATGAATGCGGAAGGTGGCCGGCAACTAATTTAGCTGCCTTTGCGAAGTCAGCGGCATTTCATTTCCCGGGATTATCTACGAGTGGCGTTCTCTGAAAAGGATTCTCAAGCGAAAACTAAAGATGTTAAATATATCTATATCTATCGATTTTTGGATATCACAGAAAGTTGTATAATATACATTTCGATATACTATTAAAAAAAAGATATCTTTAAGATTGACTACTGGAATGGATAGTCGTCTTGGAGAAAGTATTTCCCAGAATCCCCTTCCAAGGCTTTCATCTACGTCTCAGTTTCAGAGAGGAGCAGCTGCTGGCACCTGTGTGCAGCCGAGGCAGCAGTTGCAGGCTGCAACTATAAAATACCAATTTACTCCGCATGCAGTTAGTATACTTTCTTGGCAACGAGACCCGCCTGTCCGCCTGCCTGCCTCGCAATCCCTATCCCGATTCCGATTCCGGCTGGCATTCTCTGGCTCTTTGCCCTGCATCGTTCTTATGGATGCTTGGGGTATGGCAAGTGTATGCGGATGGGTTTTTTGCTCTGCTCTCTGGGTTTTCTTTTAGCCAGAGCCATTTTATGTATTTTTATGGTAGGTTGCCGCCACTGACGATGCTGCCGCTTGGCCCGGAAAGCGGAAACCGAAAATTGCTACTTATTATGTTACTAACTTTGTGTTGCCGGCTCCGCTCGACTCCTTCTGTCCCAACTCCTTGTGTGAATGGAACGGGAGCTATGTAGCTGTGGAGATGGGTAGCCGGGGCCCGTTGTTGGCTGGTGTGATAATGTCAGGTTTTGTTAAAATTAAATTGCATGTCTTGCTGCGTTGAAGTTAAATTATGGCCTCCCAGGGTCGAAGGTGTGGCATTCAACTTTACATCTCCAACTGGGAATAGTTTCACGAAAAGTTTACACCTCGAGTAGCTGGCATTCAACTTTAAACGGCCCATAGAAAACAGCTTTGGCCATAAAACGCAAAGAAAAATCACACACGAAAATACATCGGAACATCAAACAATTTTTTAAAGCCTCATGTTGACTATTTCCTTTTTTTTTTTTGTGGGACATTTTCGGATTTCTTTTTCGCAGTTTCCCAGCGGGGAAGCAGAAATATAACATTTTTTGCGTTTCACAGCAAACAGTATGCAACAGATTTTTTCTTAGCCACATGGTGCCAGGACAAAAACAGTCGCCCATTTTTGCGAGCGCGCTTCAGCACCAAAATGTATGCAATGTTTCCTTTTACTTGCCATTTTTTTAGTTGACTGTGATAACCACACGCTGTGATTTTTACCGGCATTACGAAATATTAACAGCATACAGCAAACATAACAAAAACGATATTTTCCTTTCAAGACAGACCGGGACGAAAGAAGAGTGGAAAATTTTGAGTAATGGCTGTTTTATGCCCCAGAGACTAGCTTTGTGGTAATGGACTTGTCTCAGAAATTCCTGTTCGTGGCAAATTTAAAGTTCAAATTACTTGTGGTAGAAAACAGTAGGTAAAATTTGTTTTAATTTATTTTGAGGAGGAACAAGCTCACATAGTTAAATATACTTGAATGAAAATGGAGTAAAGGAGAAATATATATGAGATATGTGGGATAATGCCATCTTTAAAAGTCAATCTTATTTATTCAATTTAGATTTCTCTGTTTGCTCGCAATTAATACGAAATACACTGTAAACAAAACCATTTACCGATACATCATCGACTATCCTTGACCTTGGCAATAAAAAAAAATCGAAATACCTCTTGAGTATTTATCGGAGAATCTTGTTCCAAAGACAACAACCCTTTGGTCGTGGCACATTTGACCAACATGAAAAACAACACGTTCCTTGGCAATAAATCTTGGCCGACGAGTATTTTGCACGTTTGTGGAAGAAAGAAAAATTCGAAAGACAAGGCCAGAAACACACGCAATTCAAGACAGGCAGGAGACATGTCACAATTCTTTGGAGTTTATTCTTTTTTGAAAATACTTAAACGAATACTATTGTTGGGACCTTTGCAAATAGTAAACAAATATGGCAACTACAATGCAAAAAGGGAAATGGTCTCAATGAGCCATAACGTTTTCCATTTTCAATTGGAAATTCCAACACGCTACCCTGAGTTCTCTTTTGTAATTTATTGGCTTCCCAGCAGAATCGTTCCACATGTATTCCGAACAGCCAGATGAGAGGGGTATTGGGAGAAACTGTCCCTATATTTGCTGCTCCCGGGGAAACAGGCAAACATTAACGAATGTTCAACTACCTCCGTATCAATATCAGCCAGTTTCCACGCCCCCTTTCCCGGGCGTCGTGTATCTCTAAATTGAGTACGTGTTGTTCTAGCTGTTGAACGTGTTTCGGTAAGTACTTGGGCCAACACGTATGCCTGTATGTGTGGCGGGCGCCGGGAAGTTAGCAACATATTTCTTTCAGTTATATGGATTTCCAAACGTGTCTGATTGCCTTCTAATGGCATTTTATTGCATTTATTAAAAAGAACTTAAGACCTCAGGGGCTAATACCAAACTCCGCAAATTAGATGCTTAAATGGCATTGTTTTAAAAATACTTCGAGCACCGAAGGCGATTCAAATAAATTGATGTCGTTTAATTAGCGTTAAGAATTCTGGATAATTTAAATAAAAAAAAATGTGTGTTTATCTGAAAAATTGGTTAGGGACAACATTTGTTCATATATTTAACATCAAAATTTGTGATACCCGTTTACTCAGACCATTAATGTTAAACTCCACTTATCAATTTAGCCCCTTTCTCAAATTGGTAGTACATCGTAATTTGGACATAATTACATAAAGAAACTCGCGGTCTATGTTGCAGCAGAACCACTCAGGGTGTTTGCTGAAGGATAAAACGATCGCATCAACATGCAACGCTCCCTATCGATGAACAGACTACGCCTCTTCAGCATGATCTCTCGCTCGAGGCGGGCACGGGAAGTGACCAGATCAATTTTGACCTGCTCCGCCTCCTGCATTTCATGAAGTAGTGCTGAGACGCTGCTCTGGATGATGTGCACCTCATCGATGAGCTCCTGCTGGGCGAGATCACGGCAGTTCTCCACATTGGGCCGATAGCTGCGGTTATCCATCCGAGTTTGGGCCACTTTCATGGAGGCATCGAAGGTACCAATTCGGCGCTTCATCTGCACAATGCGGTTCTCCACATCGGCCAAGCCCTGGAGGATGTCTTTGAGGTCGTTTTCGAAACGCTGCACCGCCTCTTGGGTGCAATTGATCCTGGAGGTCAGAGCTTTCTCAACGACATCAGCCTGTGTGCGAATATCCCTCGCCGCATTCATCATAGTCGCGTTAAGGGTATTCCGAAGGGCCACCGATTTGAGGCGACATTTTTCGCATTCGTCCAAAGTTTCCATGCTAAAGTGCTCCCAGTATTTTTCGGATGCCTGTTCCGGTGGTTGTCGCACAGCTCCCGGACGGAACATTATTGTCCTCGAGCTGTTGTTCAATCCCGTGTTCAGCGTATCAATCTCATAGGCCTCTTTCTTGTCACTCCAGTCGTATTCAAGGCGCTGACGTGCTGTACGATTTTCCACCTGTTGCTGATTAAAGTCATCCAAGGTTTTCATCAGTAGCCTTCGAATCTCGGCGATCAGAGCTAGTTCGTTGACCAGCTCTTCCTCCACCTGGTCGCGAACTAATTCCGTATCAGGCCTTGTTGATCTCTTCTCAATGCACTCCTTTGCAATAGACTCTGGGACGCCAAGAACCACCATAGATTTTCGCAGCTTTATACGTTCTACTTCCATTGTAGATATCTCATCAGCCATTGCCTTGATGGCATTCTCTAGGGTATTCTTCCACTTGCCAATCAACTGCGAACGGATCCTCAGCTTGTCGGTGGTCTCCTTTTGCGATTTGGCTACCTGGGCAGAAAGCCTAAGAAACTCGGTGGTCGAACTAAAGCGATTTCTGCAGATTTAGATTATGATTTAAAAGGATTCCATACTCAAAGTCCTGAAATTCTGTATTACTTATCTGCTCTTCCCATAGTTCCATTGATTAACTGCACTGTCTCGTGATTTCTCGTGCGCCATTCATTGGGACTGTATCTGGTGATCGAGTAACGGTCTACAACTGGTCGTGTTCCAGTAATGCCGGCCATGGGGCTCCAGTCGACTTTGCCTGAAGCCCAGGGCCCAATTGGACCCATCGGCATCAGCTGGTCCTTGTGGGGCAGCTCATCACCTTGCTGGGGCAAATAGCATGGCGGATTCCGCAGGTCATCGGCCTCAGGGTTCATGGAGCGCTGTGATGAACAATATTATATTAAAAATCGTTTTTTTATATAGCAAAAAGAACTCACGGCAAATTGCACCTCCTCCGTTCTTATGGGCCTCTGCGACTGTTGATACTGTTCAGCCCGAATGTCGGCCATTTGCATTTGTTGTTGGTCAACTCCCGCCTGAAGGTCGGCCTGCAGTTTGTGGTGTCCCTGGGCGGCGTCCATAATGTTCATCACCAGGTGCTGTTGGGCAGCCTCATCGGGGTGAGGAGTCAAGGCAACAAGAGCGGGTTGTGGTGGTTTTTTCAAACGGTGTGAACGTGGTTCCGTTGGCAGCGGACAGATTATAGGAACCGGACATTCCGATCCCGTATTCAACTCGATGGTCTTGCCCTTGCACTCCGCCTTATCACCATCCCCTAGCGACTTATTCTCCAAGCAATTCATCGTTTTTCAACTTTCCTTTAACTAACTTGTAAAAATTTTCAAAAATACGATGGAATTACGAATGAGACTCAATTGGTGTTTAGGCACAGACTAAAACTGAAAAATTGGAACGATTGTTTGAAGGTCGCAAACAAAGAAATAGGTTGCTGGGTTGCTTAAATGTTGAGTTCCGTTTATTGGCAACGGTTACTATATTGTTTTGTTTTTCTTTTCACATTTTAAAAGTCGATGTATTGCAATCAAAATATTTGCAAACTTTTTAAATCTATCGCATTTTACATAGAAGAAAACATCAGAGGTTTCTTTAGATAGATTAAGCTGAAAAAAACATATTCGGAACCATAAAATAAAAAAAACGCATTAAACTCTCACGATAACCATAACTTTTTTTTGGAATCATTGAAACAAAAACACATTGGGAATACAATTATACTGTTAAATTTAGGACCCTTTGGACATATTTTGGAAAAACATGATGGAGAACTCCAGGACGTTGCTGGGCTTGTATCGCAGCAGATTAAGGACGTAGTCCTGCATAAAATCAGCCAACTGGGAGTTGCTGTCAAGATAGCTAGTGGCATTTTCGTAGTTTAGGGCCTTCAGTTCCCGGAATTTTCTAGACAGCTGTTCATTCTGGCGCCACATCAGCTCTAATTTGGGTAAGATGGTTTCCTTCCTCTTTGGCGGCATGCAGGCAGCATGCAGAAGGTAGTTATAACCTTGCCAGTAGTGCAAGACTATCCGACCTTCTGGAGTCATGAAAGTCTCGGCCACATCCTGCAGCTCACCGTTAAAGCACTGTCGTGTTAGGATTTGCACCACGTTTTTGTAGGTACGATAGAAGATGCGAACTACCTTGCGCTCTTTGGAAACCACAAGACTGCAGCGAAGGACACGACCATATAAATTCATGGTATAGTACTCGAAACTACCCACAAAGTTGTTGCAGATGAGGTGACGCATAAGCAACATTATCCCGCCATCCAGGACGAACACATGATCACGATCCTTAATATCGATGCTGGCCTTTAAGCGCTGCACTTCTTCATTGATCTTTGTTTCGCGAATGGCGGTGAGCATCAAATCCGAATGGTTCCGCAGTTCTAAAGTCTTTTCCACCCGCGTGTTATCGATTCGATCGAACTCAGACCTCTTCTCGCAAATAAGCAAGAACTTGTCATCGTACTTGCCCTTCAACTGGTGGCCACACTCCACCAAGCACTTATCCTTCTTCATCTTGCTGCTGCTAAAAACCACGTAGCCATCATAGGACTCCTCTACGTTCAAACAGAATCGTCCAATCTGCTCCAATTCACGCTCAAAGAAGATCTTCAAGTTTTCGTTTAACTTGCAGTTGGTATTCCGCAGCTTCGAGACGAACAATTGCTCTTTAAAGATGATCGCCTGCTTGGTGGGTAGAAAGTGCTTGGGATTAATGCCCCAGTCGCACACCTTGTACTGATCATCCGATGGCTCTATCGGTCGCAGTAAGGCTGAAATGATACTCGACACACTGATCTCGTCCTGGGCATCTAGCTTGTCCAGCTCCTCGCATGCATCATTGGCAGCGCGTTTCTTGTTGGGATCCCGAAACTGGTCCATGTCGCAGGTCACGAAGAGTGGCGGATCAAGCCGAACCTGGCTTTTTCCACATCTATCTGTAATGAGTTTTTACATAAAAATGATCACCGAAATGAGATGGTGGAACTTACCCATTCTTTTGATTTTTACAGACGATTTTTTTGGTTTCACAAATTAACTCTCTAATTTTCTGTATTTCAAAGTCAGGCCAGTTTCATCAGTAAAAGTTTTGAGTCACAGATAGAATGATTTCTTTTAGTTTAATAATTTTGAAAACTTCCAAAGCAAAAACAAATTTCAATTTCAGGCTCACAATTCCTATTTACATTATAATTTCCTTTTTTTTTTTAAGCCTTATAGACAACTAGGAAAGTTGTAGTTAAATGTTTAAAAGTTTGACATAAAATCTACACCTCCATTCCAAATACAATGCTTATTTTTGAGTAGCTCTATTGCTGGGCTGGCCAAGAACTTGACTTGGCAATTAGTCGGAGCATCTAAGTAACGCTCTCTGGGAACTTCTTCAAGTGAACAACTCTGAAGTGGCCCCGAGGCGCAACATAGCCATCAAAATTGTCGCTGCAACAAGCGAAACAAACAGAAGAAAGCCTGACATGCTCCTCAAACTAATTGCAAGGCCAACAGCTCTTCAGACGACTTAAAGAGTGACAAACACAGCATGTTATACTTCTGCAGTTTGGGGTGGGGTTGACAAGTGTAAATAAAAGACCAAAGGACCATTTTCTCAGGCTGTGTGTGACTGTAAGCGAATGGACAGCAAATAAAAGGGTCGCAGCACGAAGGCCATGCTCATTGTTGTTGCCTCATTAAAAGGCAAGGAGCGTGTGCGAATATAAACAGTTAAAGGTGGAGCCTCACACACGTTCACGTGCCAGGATAAAAGGAGGCACAAAGGGTAAACAATAAATAAAATGACCGTCCTTCGAGGCCGAGCAATATTAAATTTGTTATTAAGCTTGTAATTATTTGCTGAGCCGGAAATGTAGGCATCTGCCTGCTGCCGCTCCTTCATTTTAACAACGCGAATTACGCCCGATGAAAATGAAAATATAAATAAATTATGCAAAAGACAAAGACAATGCGTTTTTTTGTATTCTTCATTTTTTATATATATTCCTTTCACTGCTTTCCATTCACGCTGGAGATCTCTCCGCTTGTCCGCTTATTTCACAGTCAAGTAAACTTTGAAAGAGAGGATACTCGAAAGGACAAAGGAGGTCCAAGGGCCTCAAGCGAGTCTTAAGTTCTTTCCATGCACTGAACAAATCTGAATGTCGATCATTATTTGTTGGTCAGAAGAATCATGTTTTCTTTTTTATATTTTCATTTGTAATAGAAAATGTTTCAAATTATGTTTAACTGACTTTTGTATATTTTGGTTTCATTATACACATATCAAATGTGAAGGCATGACTTTTCGCAGTGCCCTTATTTACTGGAATTCTCATTAATTTGTTATGCATTTCTCTCTACGCGTAAATTAACTACAATTGTTTCTGGGCAACGTCCACTTACATTTAATCTTCGTCTTCATCTCCATCACACTTTTCACTCATTTGGGCCATTCATTGCGCATTCATTTCAGGCCTCGTTCATTTCCTCTGCATTTGTTTTGCATTTCTCGTCATTGTTCGCCCTTTAACCTGCCCTCCGCCCACTGTCCCGCCCCCTGAGTGCTAAAATAAATCAAATGTACGAGTGTGTGTGTGTAAGGCCAAAGAGGAACTGACACAGAAAAAAAGGAAAGCAAAGGAAAAACAACTAAAAAAGCGAAAACAAATCTTAAATGAAAATTGTAACCGCTGCGGCTGTGCAAAAAGCCATTGGGAAACCGTGGGGCATGAGGGAAAAACTGAGAGGGAATGGCGGGGTATGGGAAAAGGAAAACTGTTGGTAATCTCCAGGCCCACATGTATCGGTCTTGTGGGTTTTGGATTGCGGATTGGGTGGCGGTGGGGGCTTAAGGGTCAGTAATAAATGTCATGATATGAAATTTATTTACGCGCTGCGAAAAACCAAAGCAAAGGAATGCAATAACAACAGAGCCAAGGACCAAAGTACCAAGAACAAGAATCGGAAGGACAATGCCGCAAATACTCATACACATACATACACACAGCCTTGGCCAAATCGCAAAAGACAATTAAAATGGAATGCCAACGAAGAATGGCGAAGGGCTAAAATGGATGATAGAAAACCTTGATTCAAACTGATCATATCGAGAAAAAGAAATAATTGCCAAGCGTAGTAGAAGCTATTCTTATTAATATTAGCATCAGCATTTCAACTCCTTCTTTTAAGTAGAATAATCTCTTTAATATACTCACCAGCTTACCAGCTAACCCTAAAACGAAAATGTTGAACCAACTGAGATTTCCTTGACAACGTCCTTCACAAACGCACCTTCAATTGTACAGGAGACACGCAACAAAAGGCAAACAAAGAAAAGCTCAGCTTCAGTGCTGATAGCAAAGTAAATAATACAAATTCTCGCAATTTTTCTGTAATTAACACATCCCCCATTCAAACGAGAAAAACAGGGGAAGCCCCACAAAGTCACACATGCCATATATCATATATAAATCCTTCTCATGTGGACTGAAAGGGAGCTGGGCAGAAAAGGACTCTGGTTCCGCTGCAGGCATGAAACGTGAACCAGGTGAAAAAAAGGTGAGAGGAGAGTTCTGGATGTTAAGGATGGGTGAAATTCGTTTAGGAGGTTCTCAGCTAACACATAAAGCACAAAAGTGTTGTCAGGTCGCTTCGCATTTTTATGAGCTGTTCATGTGAAAGGACATGCATGCCATCTTCTTGTTATGTTAGTGTTTTGCTCATGTCAAGTTTAAGTGGCATCACTCGACATATCTCCCAGCCAAATTAGCACACTCCGCTTATTGAGACTTAGGGTTAGAACTTTTTGCAGTCTGACAGATCATAGAAATACACGTTAATTATTATTTATTTTAACATAAATCACTTTTTTATAAATATTTTAAATATTTTAAAAAGAAAATTAAAATAAGATTTCAAAGCCAAAACAATTTATTGTTCATTGTATAGCCGACTAAAAGTATTTATAATTTATACACAAAAATCCAAAAGCTATTAAAATAAAAACAACTGCAAACTCATACCACGAATTTGCACATCTTTTCGCCCATTTTGGGAACAGCAACAAAACTTTATTATATAAAATGCAAATTATTTAGTAATTTGATTTCATTATTCAATCCCAGCGAATATTATCAAGTGAAGTCTGTACTTGTTTTTCCCTTCTGCCATTTTGCATTGACAAGCAAACAAAACCCGAAACTCGGAAAAACTGCACTGTAAACGAAAAACTTGAGGCAAGGTGTTGTATTGTTGGTGTTGTGGTAACAGGTGCGTTGTGGAAAGCTGAAAAACAAGCGAGAAGCGCCTAGTGCACAGTCTGCTTGAAAAAGTTTATTGTTGTCTGCTTTTGTTTTATTTTACAATAATTTCATTTTTTGTTTCCCCTTTTGTACATTTCATTTTGAAGTTTAGACCGAACACTGCCCAGGTTTTTATTTATATCTATTTGCATAGCAAAATATTTCAAAAATATGGTAAAATGCCCGCATTGTTTATTGATTTTAAACTAGATGTGTAAAAAGTTTTATTTTGCCAATGAAACTGCCTAACAAAAACCAAATTGAAAACATGCATTTGTGAAAATTTTCCATTTATCTTTATTAATGAACAGATGCCGAGGCGGTTTACAAGCTAAATAATGAAACAATAGCCCTGAAAATGGAGAACCAGTTTGAATACCTTTTGAAGATTGCTAGACTTTACAATACACAGCAAAAACTTCAATCAAGGTTCAAACTTTTTAATTAGCTCACAACAGACGGGTAATTGACTTCATTGAAGATTATGTACGGAAGGAGAATGGAAATCATTTCATCCGATAGATTGACAGGAACTGAAGGCTCATAAGAGTTACAGAGTTGAGGAAAAAATAGTATCCTACAAATTAGGGAAAAGCAACGAGAATCGAAGATGTGATTTAGGCCGTAAATTCAACAAGGTCAAATTGATATTTGTCAGCTAGTTCTTAAGACATTAGAAGCCTCCAATTCACATTTTTCAAATTTTTTCAAAACCTTTTAGACTTTTAGAAAGGCATCGCGATGAATAGCGGTTCTCCAATTAAACCCATAAATATGTACCCTTTCCCATTCAGTTCGTTCGCCACCAAAGTTGTTTAAAAAACTGTTTGCAAAAGTGTAAAGTGAATGCAAATATTTTTGCAGGCGCATAAAAAAGCCATGAAAACTGGCGAGTGACATGTGAAAGGAGTGGAAGGATATGGATGTTGATGTGTATGTGGCGGCAGGATAGCTGGCAGGCAACTGGGCGTAAACCACTCAAAGGCGAAAATAAATACACCGCCCGCATATACATAGAAGGTGGGCGAGATCTTTTGTTTGCCCCACAGTGTATATGTTTGTGTAGGCTCACGTATGCCCCTAAATGTGTGTGTTAATTTGCCAACAAAGACACGTACACACACGCAAACAGCATTTAAGAGATTTGCCAAAAGAGAAAGTTCGCACCTGAAAGACATCCCTGGGCTAAAGTGTTTACCTTGTCATTGCTATTAATTTGTGCGCGCTACATAATGGGTGTGTCAATATTTTTCAAACATTTTCTAAAAAGGTGGCAAGCCCTTGAAAATAGGCAAAATATTATGAATAACACTAAGTACCATGTTTTACAGAGGCTTAAAGGTAGTAGATAGTCGGGTTAGGGTATCTTAATAATATTAAAATTCCAAAATCCTGTATTGGTCTTACTTAATTAAATGGTCGTTATTTATTTTTAAGATTGAAAAGGGTTAAGTTACGATAGACTAAGTTTAAGGACCAAAAATCTATTGTTAGTCTCAGACAGCATTCAAGTTACTTCAAAAGAAGATTATAGTCATTGGTTTCGAAATCTTTTTGTTCTTATATATTCTGTCTTCACTTTTCCTAACAAACCAGGGTAAAACTCAACAGGCAAGAGAACAAGCAAATGCGCCTAAATTGCGACTGTACATGGTAAACACAGCAGTGGGATAAAATCGGCCTGTTGGCTGGCAGGGCATA